AATTTATAACGTATCCCGTTAATAAAGAAGAGGTAGACGTCCTAGGAGTACCTAAAGATACGATCGGAGGCTAAGGATCGGTAGGAAAAGAAGGGTTATATACCCGCGTATTTAGCGGTATCGGAAGAGGCGAGCCGGCGCTCGTAGTATTAATAAGGTATTTTATTAGATACCTTATATTATTAAACGAATAAACTAACGACGTAACGAAAGTCCGTCGTTAGTCGACGGAAATACTCGTCGACCGGCCCCTTGTTATTAATTTTTACGAATAACGTCCGGCGACGGAAAAACTAAACGTAACGAACGAAGGATATAGCGTAGCTTTAAAGGTAGGTAACCTCTTAAAAATCCTTACTTAAGATCTTCTATACGATATACCGGCCGGCCGCCGGCCTACCTAGAAAATAGAACTAAACGTTACGAATTATCTTATTATTAATTAATTTAACCTTCGATTAATAAATCCTATTAATATTAAGAGTTATATACCTAGCGCTATTAATTTATTACCCGAATTCCTTCGATATTCCGGAGCTACCGGCCGATAATTACTTTCGGGCTTTAGTTTAACGGGCGGGAATACGGGATATACGGTACTTACCAAGGCTTAGAAATTAGCCGATTAACGTCTCGGAACTCCTCGGTAGAGGATAGCCGGCGGAAAGATTCGTTAGGTTATTTATTTATTAGGTTTACCGACGGCGGTATCGATTTAGCCTATTAATACGTTACGGCCTTTTTCTTATCCTTCTAAGCTTTTTTTAACGCCCCGGCGATTTCTTTATCGGTAATCCCCGTAGCTTTAAGTTATTCGAATAGCTTAAGGGCAGACGCCCGGTTTAGTTTAAGGAGTTACTTCTAGATAGTAAGGTTTATTATATATATATATATAAAAGAAAGAAAGATAGGAACGACGAAATTATAAATCTAGAATTAAAAAAAATCGAAAAACGAATTAAAACGAAGATAGAGAACTTAAGGAGAGGAAGAAAGGAAATAGATCGGAATTATAAAATAGCGAGAAATAAGAAAAAAGGTTAGGCGAAAACGAAAGAGTCGAATACGTTACTTAGGTCGTAAGTACCGTACTTAGGAGAGTCTCGATAATACCTACCTTAGCTTACGTTTAATTATAAGTCCGCGAACGTACGCATTTATTACTTTATTAAGAGTATATAATAGGAAGTTATAAGCTAGCGTATTTCTTATTATAGCTTTATCCGTATACGGGGGAACGCGTTTTCCTAAAGCGTTAGCCGTAAAGGTATATCTAACTATATCGTTAATACGTCTCCCTTCCTTTCTTTCTTTTTCCTTTTTAGGTATTTTATTCCGAAAACCCCTTCCTTATAATTATTATATTCTTATTAATCTCTAGCTTACCTTTCTTATTATTAATTTAAATTCTTATTTTTACCTTTAACTTATTATCTTTTCTTTTCCTTTTCTTAATTCTTTTTTTTATTTTTATTATATCTTTCCTTCGCTCCGCCGGAATCCCCTCCTTTTTCTTCCTTTCTTTCGTTTATAGAAACGTACGTCGCGTTAATTTAGCCGACTTAATAGAACTCCTACGGGAGATTCATAGTAATAAAGATAACTAGAGTAATATAGAGGAATATTAACTTAATACTTTAGATAATTACGATTTAAAAAGGGGCTAGATCGAATTAGGATCCGATATAACTTAGGCTTTCCGGCTATCTATTAATCGGTCCCGAACTATAGATTAATAGTAGTAAGAATAAACGAGGGTAGCCTTAGCTAACTCTTTCGTTTATATCGCTTATTACGATTACCTTATTAACGAGGATATCCGTATCCTTTATATTATAATAAGCTACGACCTCGAAGGTAGGAAGGCGGCCTTCGAAGTAAACCTATATTAAACGATAGGTTACCGATTAATAGGATCGTTCGATTTCCTAACCCGCCGATACCTCTTCGATAACCCTACCTTTATTTTAATTTTTACGATCTATACGGATCTAATAAACCCCGAACGAATTATTACCGATCCCTCGAAGTTCTCCTAAGCTTACTTCGCCGTAGCGCTATACCTTCCTAAGCTCCGAAGATTATATAGCTTTAATATAATTAAGGACGGCGCCTTCGATCGGGCGGCGTACGCGCTCGGTTAATTATAGCGAGCCTAGGAAGGCGGTAGCCTCGAGCCCGATATAATCCCTTAGTTTACTTATTACGTCGCGTTAATAAACTAATAAGATAACTTTAGTTACGGTTTTTAAAGTAGCATTCTACCGTATCTTATCTTTAAGCGACCGATCGAAGTCGCCTGCTAAGCCTAAGAAAATAAGGGGCTTAACTTTTTTAATATTATAAGAAAATACGCCGAAGTAGTAAAGTAATTTTATAGCGTTCGAGTTTTAAAGGACGGGATAAGTATCGTTAAGCGTTTTCGGTAAGTCGTAAATTACTAAAAGCGAATTAACCTTATTAACGTTATAGCCTCGGCGTAAAGTACGCCGATTAACGAGTCTCTTAGTCGTAAATCCTTTATTTAGTTTATCGCATAAGCCGAAGTTCGTCGTTCCTCTATAGCCTTAATACCTAATCCCTTTTATTCCTTTATATTAACGGACGTAAACTTCCGTTACGATAACCTCGTTAAGGTTATAACGCGCCCCCTCCCTTCCCCCGGCTTAGAAAGGATTAGAGCTTTCTAGTTAAAGGAGACCTTTACGTAGTATAGATAGAGAAAAGATACCTAATTAACCCTCGGGACGCGCCTGCTCCTTTATTATTTCCTTAATTAGGAGGGCTAGAACGAAATTAAGAAGAAGGTAGCCGAGATAAAAAAAGAAAACGCCGATCGGGCTAGATCGGTAAGGATAAACCGGGCTAAGTTAACCGTAAAATAATAAAAGGACCCCCTTATAATATTAAACGAAAAGCTAAAAACGCGACGGTAATAATTAAATAATAGCCGGTAAAATAAAGTTTCGCGGTAGTTTTTAAAGGGAGATATTAATCGGGATATACCGTACTATCCTTTTTAATTTAATTATTCCTTACGGTATAATTAAACTAAGGAGGCTATAGTAATACGGTAAGATATATTCTCTTAATATATTACGTAATACGTTACGATAGGCCTTATGCTTATATAAAGTAACTATAGCTCCCGCGAGTACGGGACATACCATACTTATTATTTAGTTCATTACTTAATTAGATTATTATCTTTATTATTTTTATCTTAATTAAAGATTTGTTTTTATTATTAGATTCGTCGTTCTCCGATTAATATATCTATTTTAATTATAAGCGCTTAAGTTACTTCGTCGTACCGCTATAGCCGAATAAATGACTTTTACGTTTTATCCCTTTTCTTTCCTTACCTCTTATACCTTCGGGCTAGCGACTATTATATCTCTACGATTAAGGGGTATAGCTAAGATACGATAACTATATTAAATTCCTTATCTTTCGATTAATATAGCGGTATTAGTTTTATTTATCTTAGACCATCGTACGTACTATAGTCTTCGATAGAGTACACTTTCGAGTGAACATATCCGTGTCTCTAGCATCGCATACGCTCTGCTCCTCCTTAATATATAAAGACCTAAGTAACCGAAGCGACGAATATATCGCTCTGGAAAGCTAGTAAAGCGAATAAAGCTTAAGCTAACCTAGGACTTCTATTAGGAGGGTAGCTAAGCTAACTATCGCGAGCTCTTTAACTAAGCTATTATTATTATTTAGCTAAGCTTACTATCGCGAGCCTAGCTAGGAGGTATATTACGTAAAGAGCTATTAGTATATAGCTCCTTACTTTTTCTTTAATTACTTACTTACCTAATATAGCTCTTAGCTCGCTTATATAACATAGCTCGTAGCTTCTTATTATCTATATATAAGTAGCTCGTATTTCCTTTATTTATCTCTTTCTCTCTTAGATAGTTAGTTAATTTACCTTCTTCTCCCCACCTTCCGTTACTTTTAAGAAGCAACCTTAGTACCTACGTAGCTCTCCCGATCTACGTAATATGTTTCTTATTAATATTAAAGGTAGAATAAGACTCCATTTAGCCGTATTTAGCTTTCCAGATATAGAAATATTAATTTAAAGCAAAGGCTTTAATTGAAGTAATTGAAGTAAAAAGCTTTAGTTTTACGTCCGGACTTTAACGTAATTAAAAGGTTATGACTCAAGAAGTTATAAAACTAGTTTTTATTAAGAAGCCGTAAATCGCTACTCGTCTTTAAGATATCTTAAATAATTTCGTAGATAATATAGTAATTAAAAGCTAATCTTAGTATTTCCCAACGTAAAACTCATAAAACGAATTATTTCTCTTATTTATTTAGCGCTATAAAAATTAAAGCTTTAATGACGTTAATCTACCCTAAAGCTAAGTCGTTAGCGTAGTTTGTAAAACGCTGTATATAATAACTATACAGCGTATCAAAACGCCTTCTTAATTAATAAATTAGATAATAAACACTATAAAATCCTTATTAACGAATTTTATAATAAGAGAAGCTTATTTAATTGAGATTTAATTAAAATTTAATAAAAATTTACTCGTATTAATTAGATAGTAATTTATAACTATATAATTTTATTTACTGCTGTTTTTGATTAACAAGACCCCTAGTGATACGTATCTAATTTAATTTAAAAAAACGTTAGATTAATAGTAAAGCTCTATATAAATTAGATTCATCGTATTTCCTAAGTAGTTTTAAAACTAATAGGAAGCGGTATAATAAAAAAAATAATCTTTAATATTTTTTAATATATTAAAAAATAGCCTACGGGAGGGTAGCCTGTAGTTATGTAATAAATGGTAAATGGTAGTACTTTTTATAAACGGGTTAATAGAAATACTTTAATGTATAACTTATAATTAGATAGTAGATAATATATATTAAATTTAATTTATAAATTAAGATATTAGATTTTGTATTTCTACGTAATTACGTTATATAGAATAATTAGCTACTATCTTTATTTCAAGTATCAAATTGTTAGTTTAACTAACTATCGCGTTTTAAAAGCCTATTATATTTAGTATAGCATTCTCTTCTCCCTCCCTTTACACTTTTTACTCTCTAATAAGCCTGCAGTATTAGGTAATTCACGATCCTCCAAGATAGCTTTGAGGGGTTGGGCTATTATATCCTGGGGACCCGAACACGGCAATGTAGGCCGAGGTCGCTTAACTCTAAACGTCGATGTCGTTTCATTGATCTGCCTCTACGATGGCTATCCGACTTGGGGCTTGGCACAGAGTCCTGGCTCTGGTGCCACAACTAGCGGATGCCCCTATTTCACGACTTGCATGTTCTCGTCGGCTTTACTACTATCCGCGGCAAAATCATAGTGCTATACCGACAACTCCCGTCGCCGTCACCACGTCACAGGAGTGCCTAGAAAAATGGTTCGGAAAAAAGGCTGAAGAGGCCGGCCCGCCGGAGATGGGGAAAGCCACCGGCGAGAAAGGAGAGGGGAAAAAGTCCGACCCCTTACGCATCCTCTTCTGCGGATCCGACCTGTTCAGCTGTGTGTCGCTTGAGGCGTTGTGCCGTGAGCGGCAGGGCAACCCAGGGCTCGTCCAGTCCGTTGACGTTGTGGTGCGACCCGGCAAGTTCACCGGCAGAGGAAATAAATCTGTTCAGCATCGTAAGTACGCTCATGATATCATACGCGCGAGCGCGCAATACTCACGTGTGCCGATGATGAGCATAAGCTTACTGTATGCCCACAGCTCCGGTTAGAGATGTAGCCCTGAAGCTTGGTCTGCCAATCCACGAGAGGGATACGTTCACGGGATGGGATGTAAGTTTGGGATACGCTCATTGCGCGCACTATCTGATATCCCACCCATTGCCTGCCCGTCACTCCTTACCCCCTCCCCGTGTTTACTAAGTCCTGGTCTTCTCGCTTCCCGATAGATGCCTCCGCACATCAACCTTATCGTCGCCGTCTCTTTCGGGCTGTTCGTTCCACCGCGGCTGCTCCGCAGTGCCAAGTACGGCGGCCTCAACGTACATCCCTCGTCTCTGCCGGACCTACGAGGACCAGCCCCCCTACAACACGCGATTCTGGCTGGCCGCCGTGCCATTGGTATCAGTCTGCAGACGCTTCACGACCTTTCTTTCGACAGCGGACAGGTTCTCGCGCGCGCGCCGCTGCCGGTTCCGATCCTGAAGGATGACTACTTCGCGGACGTACTTCATCGGGCCGCGCCCCGGGCCGCCGAGCTTCTCCTTAGTGGCCTTCGTGCCTGCGTACACGTCCCGCCGCTGATAGCAGCTGAATCCGATATGGATTCCGGAGGAGGGCCCAGGCTAGTAGACCCGGGGGCAGCCCTAGTCCACGCACCCAAGATCACGAAGTATCACCGCCAACTCTGCCCCGAGACCCTACCGGACCTATGGCGACGCCAGCGCGCTATAGGCCCGCTCTGGTTCTGGTCGCGGGACCGGAAGGGGACTCGAAGACGCATACTAATTGAGCATATGTCTGGACCGCCGTTGCCTTCAACGTCATCTCATCTCTCTCCCAGCCTACCGCCGCCATCAACTGCCGCGTTCAGCATAGATACCGACTGCTTCGGTGAGTGCAGTGATGGCGCCGACAGTGAGGGTCAGTCGATACAGTTAGTGCGCGCAGTAGCAGCCGCCACTCATGCAGAGAGAATAACATATTACGGACGACGGTACGCGGCCGCGCAAGCGGTCGGGCCGAGCGTGCCGTACCTCCTGCCATTCGAGCATGACAGAGACGATCCCAGTGGGCCTGACGCCGTTTCCGATGACACTGCGACAGGTGACACCACTCCTGCTCCTTATCCCCCCCATCCTAAGTTTACTACTGCTGTTGTGGATACCGCTACCAGCAACAACAGCAGCAATGACCCCAACACCAAACAAGAGATAAGTCGGCGGATAACACATCTCCTCCTGTGGATACCGTACCGTGATGCTGATGCATGCTACCTTGGGGACTGCCGCTTAACCGCTGTCAAGGTGGAGGGCGGCCAGGCGAGGCCGCCGTGGTTGGCTCTACAGGCCTTTCTTGTGCGGGCCGACGGCGGAGAAAAAGGTGGACGAAACAATAGAAAAGATGCGGGTAATAAGAAAAAAAGGCAAGAATTAGAAGCAAAAATAGGTGATGGTCATATAAGCAAGTAAATAGAATATATATACTTGACAACCCTTCGCTCTCCGTTGGTTTCATAGCGTGTGGCACGAGAAGGAATGCGCATGAAGTCGGTAACACTGATTCGTTCCGTCGTAAAGAGGTTAAGTTCCCTAGGGAGGTAGGTATGCTACGTATATAAACCTAGAGATAGTGGATAGAGTGAAAGGGGGAGTAAGGAGGTAGAGAGTCATGGGTGCTACGGCAACTACTAGAGTCCAACAAGTCACAGGCTTCCCAACCGAAAGAAATATTCGTATTGCTTCTCTGTGAGCTAGACCTGCCGTAGACGCTGGTACAGGTAGTTTTCATATACCCCTTCCATATTCATATACATAACACGACTGCCGAGCCAGTGATGGCTGATTCGCCTTCACCCATGTACCATCTCCCTTCTCCCTTGTCCAACGGTCACGCGGCATGTCTAGCAGTCACGGAATAGGGTGAGCTGACCCGGCACCTCTATTGCCTGGCCCCGAAGGCCAGGTAGGCGCTTGCTCAAAAGAATACAATGGGCTTACCTAGACTGCAAGCACAAAAGTACCAGCGACAGGTGGAAAGGGAACGGGGGGTGTTTTCCCTCCCACCTGGTTAAACGAGTTCTTACTCGTTAGCTATTTCAACAAGAGGCTCGGAGGTATAAAAGATCTACCGTTGACGATAATGAGCACCGTGGTGAGCACCCAAGGATAGCGTAATTGTTATAGATGAATTCTTTTTGGGTAAGTAACCCTTAGATACCTTTATTTCAAGGTTGAGCGATAGGAGATTCCGTATTAATACATGCCTTACACGAGCTAACTCGCACACGCAGGCAGGCAAAGAGAGAGCATGCGTTGGGTGTAGTTAGTAGTAACTGGCCAGGGGACGGGACGGGGTTGGGCCATGGATCCAGGCAGGAGCGACAAGACGAGAAGAGTCCGTCACCCTCGAGGACAAGGCCGGTCAATCCCATTTCTCTAAATTTTCGCCTGCTTAGATATTCTTGTCCTTCTCGTCCACCGAACTGCCGATGCTTGACAAGGTCTCAGTCTTGGACAAGGCCGTGTCATCCTCGGCCTCGTCGACGGTGGGGCCGTGGATGCTCTCCTCAAAGACAGGCTCAGGCTCGTTAACCTCAAATTTGGTCTTGAAGTCTTTCGCATGGTTCAAGTAACCACTGCTGTTAGAGCGGCGGCGAGCATTGGCAAAATTAAAGTCCTCATCGACTACCTCCTCTCCTGCGGAGCCCCTGGGGACGTGAGTCAGTATCACTGGCACATGTGTATACATCACTGTGCCAGGGTCCATAGTGCATTCGCATTCCTGATAGAAATGGGTAGGTGGGAGGGAGTAGGGTTGTGCAAGCTTACCAGTTGGCTCTACCCCCACCATTCTTCTTGGTCTTCTTAGGATCTACGCCGTCGAAGCCATTCTTCGCAAAGAACTTGGGTAAATTTTCATGAGGGAGGATTGTGCCGTCAGCAATGCTGGCGTGGTCCTTGTCGTTGTATTTGTGAGATCGGGTCACTAGATACGACGGAGGACGTGTCAGCAACAGGTCCTCTAGCTAACGAGGGAAGCGCGATCGCAGAGCGAGGTGGATTATGCCCCAGATGGAGTAAGGCACGCGATAGGTAAGCCCGGGGCTTGTCCAGGTGCCATTTACATCCGTTGAATCTTGACTGATGTAGATCGTTCAACATCGCACGATACAAAACAAAGGCTGGAGGCGGTCGGCCACACGAGGGCTGTGCCAAGATCCGGTAACAGAGAGACGGTGGATAAGGAGTGGGTGAACTTACTGGTATACTGATACAGGACGTCAACCAGCAATCGGGAGGATACGAACAACTCCGATCTCAACGGATCGGATTGGGTAGACGCTGATATCAATACCGGGGTTTGCTAATATAGCTTGTATATCGCGTGGGGCACGTAGGAGGAGACAGAGACAGACGGGGGAGAGAGAAGATAGGAAGAGTAGAGAAGCTGGTCAATTGCAGACCAGGTTCGACTCGTTTGGGGTCCGGTAGGGGTTTTGGGGAGGGGGGGTGGCGAGTAAGTAACGGCAAGAGAGCGAGGAATGGGCGGGATGAACAGCGATCCGTAGATAGGGGGCCAATGGGTATTGAGTCTGTGGTTGAGGGGAGCAGATGTAAGGATTTCCCCTCAGTGTCGGCGATGCGTCAAGAGCTTGCGAGTATACGTATAGGTACGTCCACCACCCGCTACGCCGTTTGTTTACTGGCTATATATGTCTGAGAGAGGGAGAGAGGAAGGGAGAGGAGACAGACCGGCGGCAAAGAGGGTGGAACATATTCATATTATAGGTGACAATGATGTATTGCATTGGCCTATGATGTAATGAACAGGTACGTAGGTCGGTAGGATGGGAGGAGTCTGCGTGGTCTGCGTTAGGTGATATGAATGTGATGGGGCAATGCTGGGGGGGGTTCGCTGGATAGCAGTGGGCTTTACGCCAAGGCCCCGGACGAGCAGTTGGAGGCATATTTGACTGATGTCGGAGACCTCCCCCTCTCCTTGTCCCTCCGTATCCCTGATTTGGAGGCATTCTATCTCCACCGCTGGAGGTGGCCGTTTCCGGGACCTATACGTGGAGGCGGATAGGATAAACAAGTACATCATTCCACATACTACTACTGCCCTGCCGCGGCATCTCACCATGACTTGTAAAAATATCATAAAAGGCAAGTCTGCATATCGTGCACCGATGGTCAATTCCCACCTGGCATCGAAGTGCCTCGTAGGCTTCTTAATACACATATATCTGTCGAAACTTCAAGCTGAGCAGGTACCTCGCTATTAGGCAAGTAACGGAAACGTGAAGCACGCGATCGTCCTCTGCACAGACGTAGAGAAACAATCCACGTGATAGTCTCGAACGATCTTAGGCTGACTGATGTGGGTCCCGGGCTAAGTGAGCTGATCGACTGAAAGCCGGGGGTTCGCTGGTTGGTCGCGTGACTGTGGGTAGCAGCTGTTGGTCAGTGTTAAGTCAAGCAGGTCAGCTGGCAAGATTCAATAGGCACGAAACCTGTTGCAATCGCAGGCAGTATGGCACCTGAGGCATACAGGCATCCAGAATGGAGCCCTGCGATTGGTTAGATTGAAGAAAAACGCACAACTGTTAATTGATATTAAAATGCTACATTTAAGCTATTTCCAGTGGCTAGCTTGATCTCTTTAATTTAATAATAACAGGTTTAGAATCGGCCACACTTCTGTTAATAATTTCCGCTTACGAAACGCCTTCGCTTTTACTAACGCTGCCGAGTGCTTATTAATTTACGGCTTAATCGATTCGTTAGCTTCCTTTTATATTTATATATATATATATATATATATATATATATATATTAATCCTTTTTTTTAAAGAATTCGTAGATCCTATAGCCTGTGCCTCCGACCCGGCCCTCTGCTTTAAAAAAAGCGAGATCGCCTTTACTAGCCCGTCTATCGTTCTTACTACCCTATCCGTCACTCTTACAGGCCCGTTTATCGCTGCCGCCGTCGTTAGCCTTAATAACGCCGCTTTTTAACATACGGTTTCGGCTTTAAAGAAGCGGATTAATGCTTTAAAAAGCTTCTAACGTTTCCAGCGTTTACGCTTTTATTTACCAGCCCGTTCGCTAGCCCGTTTCTTACGTCGCTGCTTACGTTTCTACTGCTTTTAATACTGCTTCCGCCCTTTAGCCTTTCCTTTTCCTCTTAAAACGCTAGATATTAACTGCTTCGCGCGTATCTACCGTTCCTTTATCGCCTACTTTATTCTTAATAAAAAACTAAAGAGACTAATATTTCCGAGTTTTCTCCAGGGAAAAAAAACAGCGATTACGACGACGATAATGATTGATCGCTTCATTTTTTTTATAATTAAATAACGCTCTTATAACGTTTAAAAAAAGAAATTTAACCTCACGGCCCAGTTTTTAAATACTCCGTTTTTTTAATTTATTATAAATTTAAGTTCTCTTAAGTCGTATATTTTTCTTTTAAACCATCGTTTACGATTATTAACCAAAATTCATTTTCGTAAACGTCTAGCGCCTCCGCCTCTATAAAATCAAGTTTTTAATAGCCTTTCTAACGTATTAAAACTCTACGTTATTTATCTTTACTTACCTTTTTATTTCTTATGTAAATAATTTCTTTTATTATAAATTCGTTAACCTCTTTAATAAATAATAAAAAAGATCAAAAATCGTTCCAGATTTCATTTAATAATTTATTCATATACGTTTTTTATAATTAGTCTACGTAAAACTTATTATTAATTTCGGTTAAGATACTTTTTAATTCGATTACGTACGGGTTTAATATTTTCGTAATTGTATATTTTGCTTTTAATTAATCGAGCTTTTTCTTAAATTTATTCATACTATAATAAATAAGATCGAGTTATACTTTATCGTTTATTTAAAACCTTTTGGTTAGAAATCGCTTCTAGTTTACGTAAAATTCATATTATTAAAAGGCTATAGTTAACGTTACTTATATAAAATTTAAAATTACGCGAACCTTATTTACAAACGCCTTCGCTCAGAATTCGACGGTAAAGGTATTATTTCCGCGCCTAGGCCGGCGGAAACTGCGGGTATAGAGTTTAAATGAAAGTCGTATATCGCAAAGAAAGAAGAAAGCTTTATCAAGGTATTAAGCCGTCCGTTTAACGCTTATTAAACGACAAGTAATTATTATACATAATCGTTTCATTCGTAATTAATATAGCCTCATAATACTATTTAAATTTTTTAATTAATTCTTTTAAAGCTTCTGTTTATTTAAAAGTAATAAACCGTGTTTAATTTTTACTTTATATTTATTAAGCGATGAAGATAATAATAAAAATAATTTAATTAATTCGATTTTCTATCCCCTATAACATTTCTTAATTAGTCATAGTATTGGACGTAATACGTTAAAAAATATTCCGTATACGCTTCTACGTCTATTGTAGTGGTGCGGTGGATCTAGGCCACGTAGCCTTTTGGATGCGTATTTATATGGGCCGCGTACTCATATTTTCATCAGTCAGACTTAGACCTGTAGCTATTACAGTAGCCATCAGCTATTCACTCGTTTCTTGCCATGCCTTTCTAGCCACCTTATTGCCTTTCTCTTCTAGTCCTTTCCCAGCTGCCGCTTTCAGCTGGCCGATCAACCGATCAGCTGTTTAAAGCTGTAATCTTAGTTGATCGGCACTGGGCCAGTTGTTGGCAGTTGGACAGTTTTCGTGCCTCCACCACAGCGTGCCCACGCTGCTCCTGTTTACTATAATAAATATAAGCTCGAGAATTAGAGTCTTATTTAAGTAGTTTTTCATTACTTAGATATATTAATTATTTCTAGATAGAAATAAGTTGAGATAAAGTTTATTTACATATTCTCAAAGTAATAATTAAATATGAAAAGGAATTTAAGAACCTTTTTTTAATATTTTGTTCATAATTTAAAGTAGCTATAAACGTTATAGTTACGAATTGATCTTCTTACATATTAATAAAGTATTAATTACTAAAATTTTCAGATTAGAATCGCTATAATAGCCTTCCGATCGGGATAACCGATAACGTATAAACTATAAGCCCTTTAAATTATTTTCGTTTATAATTCGTTAAGTTAATCTGTATTTAAAGAATTTATTTCCGCGTTTCCAGAAAGTAAATCCCTAAGTATTTATATCTGGTCCTTAAATAATAACTATTTTCTAGCGTTTATTATATATTTCGCAATTTATACCGTCAATTTTATATTCGGAATAAAAAAACGAACGGCTTATTTTATCGTTTAATATATTTATTAATATAACGTATTAAAGTACGCCGTTTTCTTTTATAAGAACTAAAGTTCGTTATTTTTAAAAACTTTAATATCGGACTCGGCGAATTAAAACGTTATTAATATGTAAGTTTAGTTTCGAAAAACCCCTATAAAAATAAGCTATAGATACCGTAATTCCTTATCGTTTATACTTCATCGGTTTTAATCCTTTCGGAAGAACGCGTCGAAAATCGTAATTTAATTACCGGCGCGATAAACGAAATCGAAGTTATACTAGGATAGGAGCTCTGCTTAACGCGCTTACTGCTCCGAGAAACGTTAACGGATTATAAAATATTTATAATGAGCTGTGCCTATTATAGGGCTAGGGCTAGTGCCAGGGCATGGTACGTAATGAGAAGAAGTAGAGCGTACACGATACTAGAGTCCCGGATAGGTTTACTCGAAAGTGCACTCTATTAAAGATTATAATACGTACGATAGTCTAAGATAAATAAAACTAATATTATTATATTAATCGAAAAACGAGAAATTTAATATAGTTATCGTATCTAAGGTATATTCCTTAGTCGTAGGGATATAGTAGTCGTTAACCCGAAGGTATAAGAGGTAAAGAGAGAAAAGGAACTAAGCGTAAAAGTTACTTACTCGGTTATAGCGGTACGACGAAGTGATTTAAACGCTTATAATTAAAATAGATATATTAATCGAAGAACGACGAATCTAATAATGAAAACGAATCTTTAATTAAAGTAAAAATAATAAAGATAATGATCGAATTAAGTAATAAACTAAATAATAAGTATAGTATAATCTGTACTTACGGGAGTTATAATTACTTTATATAAGTATAAGGCCTATCGTAACGTATTACGTAATATATTAAGAAGGTATATTTTACTATATTATTATAGCCTTTTTAATTTAATTATATTATAAGAGATAATTAAATTAAAAAGTATAGTACGGTATGTTTCGATTAATATCTTTCCTTAAAAATTATTACGTAATTTCATTCTATCGGTTATTATTTAATTATTGTCACGCAAAACGCAGACGCCTACATTTACGCTTTGCGGTATGTAGGCTTATAAGGCTGGTTCAACTGCTCCGTGATACACCCTCTAGTTTTTAGTCACTCAAAGGTAGGTAACAACTGCTCTCGGCGTTAAACCTTCTACCTTTCTTAGCGCTAGTCGCATACTTCTCGGCGCTAGTTACACTAGGTAGGTTTTAACAACTACTCGATACTAGAATTAAACCCTCTACCTCTTAGCGCGACGCCTTACTGCCAGTTCTAGTCTAGCTCTAGGGCTTCTCCGCGTAAGGGGCTAGCGCTTTCTCGCGCTCGTATACGCGTAATTAAAGGAACCGAACCACTAAGCTAAAGCACCTTGGACCGCTAACCGGGCTTATAACTGTCATGTAAAACGTAGACGCCTACATTCACGCTTTACGGTATGTAGGCTCATAAGGCTGGTTCAACTGCTCCGTAACAATTATTAAAGCCGAGTTTTTATTTTATCGTTTAATATAACAAAGAGGCCTTTTTATTACTTTACGATTAACTTAGTTTAGTTTACCTTTATCGACGTAACCTAATCAGCGTATTTTTTCTTTATTTTAGTTACCTTCTTCTTAGTTTCGGTTTATTCTTCTTAATTAAGGGGATAGTAAAGGAGCGTACGTGTCCCGAGAGTCGACTAGGTATTTCTTTTTACCTATACGGTATAAAGGTTTCCTCGGATTAGAAAGCTCTAATCCTAACTAAGCCGTGGGAAGGGAGCAGGCGGCTCGTAACCTTAACGAGGTTATTGTAACGGAGCTCGGCGTTCGTTAATACGAAGGAACGGAAGGGATTAAATACTAAGGCTACGGAGGAACGGCGGACCTCGGCTTACGATCAAACGGATAAAGGATTTACGGTTAAGGAACTCGCCGATCGGGATATTCTCGGCGGAGGTTATAACGTTAACGAAGTCGATTCGCTTTTTATAATTTACGGCTTACCGGAAACGTTTAACGATATTAATTTCTTTCTTTAGAACCTAAACGTTATAGAATTACTTTACTACCTTAGCGTATTTCGTTATTATATTAAAGAAACTAAGCCTCCCGTTTTCTTAGGCTTATCGAGTAACCTCGATCGGTCGTTTAAAGATAAAATACGGTAAGATACCGCTTTAAAAACCGTAACTATAATTATTTTATTAATGTATTAACGCGACGTAATAAGTAGACGAAGAGGTCATTATAAGTTCGAAACTACCCCCTTCTTAAGTTCGTTATAACTAACCGAATATATACGCCGCTTAATCGAAGGCGCCGTCCTTAATTATATTAAAGTTAAATAATCTCCGGAGCTTAAGAAAGTATAACGCTACGGCAAAGTAAGCCTAAGAGAACTTATTAAGGTTAACGATAATTTGTTTAAGATTTATTAAATTTATATAAATCGTAAAGACTAAAGTAAACGCGGGATTATCGAGGAGGTATTAACGGATTAAGAAGTTAAAGGATCTCACTGATCTATAATTTATCGTTTAATACGGGTCTACTTCGAAGACTACCTTTTTATCTTCGAGGTCGTAATTTATTATAATATAAAAGGCGCGGATATCCTCGTTAATAAGATAAGCGTAACGGGCGAGGTATACGAAAAAGTTAACTAAGGTTATCCTTATTTATTCTTATTACTATTAGTTTATAATTCGAAACCGATTAATAAATAGCCGGAAGGCTTAGGCTATATCGGATGCTA